ATAAGTCTTCCTCAAAACCTAGCTATACCACTCTTGGGCATACACCCAAAGGATGCTCAATCATACCACAAGGAAACTTGCTCAACTATGTTCACAGCAGCATTATTTGCAATAGCCAGAACCTGGAAACAACCTAGATGCCCCTCAGCTGAAGAATGGATAAAGAAAATGTGGTACGTATACACAATGGAGTACTACTCAGCAGTAAAAAGCAATGACATCATGAAATTTTCAGGCAATTGGATGGAACTAGAAAATATCATCCTGAGTGAGGTAACCCAGACTCAGAAAGACAAACATGGTATGTACTCACTTATAAGTAGATACTAGATGTAAAGCAAAGGGTAACCAGACTATAACCCACAACTCCAGAGAAGCTAGCTAACAAGGAGGACCCTAAGAGGGACACATTGATTGCCCTGGGAAGGGGAAATAGATAAGATCTCTTTGAGTAAACTGGGGATGAGGGGGAGCAATAGAGTGTAGGGTATGGGTGATTAAAACATAAGGGAATGGGATGGTCAAGCTGGAACAGGGATGGAGTGGGAGAGCAATGAAAGAGATACCATCATAGAGGGAGACATTGTGGGGATAGGGAGAAACTGGGTGCTAGGGAATGTAGAGTATTGGTAAGACTTCTATGATAGTCAAACTTGTAGTCATGTTAGCTAAGTTTTCTAGGTATACATAGATATATTTCAATTAGGTAGGTAATCTTCAAACACTTCAAAGACCTCCAGATTATGGCATTTAAAACTGTTTTAAAAACAGACTTTCTGCACAGTGAAACACATCTGCTCCTGACAACACCAATTTACTTCAAAGAAAAAGATGAGCATCGAAGACACTCCATATGGAGTTTATCTTTTTCTTGGCAAAAATAGCCATTTGGGCAAGAAATTGTTCTTGCCTGGACTCCTTGACAAAATGTTATATTGACTGGACATGCAGGACCCATAGGAAGGTGACCATTGAACTTTGCAAGGCAAAATGGTCCTTCAGGTTCCTGCTTCACAGAATAAACTGCCAGACATTGTACAGGATACAGAGAAAAGTGACTGAGAGACTCTAGGCCTGTGGGCTAAAGATGGATGCTCCAACATTGCAGAGGAACTTTGGATGACTGTCCACATAAACAGTTGTCTCTGTCATTCTAGACTTTTGGAAGTTTCTCACAATGCTCTTCCTGTTTACTTAAGTTATAGTATATCCTTCTGAGGTCTTTGATGTAGCTGAAGATTTGATTGTTATAATTTCCTTGGTTATGATAAAGGATAAATTAGATATGAAACCTTAGACTCACAAATATAGGATAGATAGGATATCTTCTTTAATTTTGCCAAATACAAATAAACTAGATGTTGTAACTATAATTCTTGCTTGATAACTCTTTTGTTATATGTAATTTTACTATGCTAAAGTTAAAACCTTCCTTTTGACTAGAAAGAAAAAGGGGAAATGATGGCTGATGTTGTTCTGTATGCTATGAATGTGTTGCTCTGATTGGTTGATTTAAAAAAAAGGCTGTTTGGCCAATGGTGAGGCTGAAAAAGGTTAGGCAGGACATTCCAAGTAGAGAGAGAGAGGAAGGAAAAAAGAGAGCAGAGGAGACGTGTTAGCCATCACCAGAAGAAGCAAAATGTAGAGTACTGTTAAGCCACAAACCACATGGCAAAGTATAGGTTTATAGAAATGGGTTAATTTAAGATGTAAGAGTTAGCTAGTGAGAAGCCTGAGCCATTAGGCCATACAGTTCATAATTATATAAGCCTCTGTGTGTTTATTTGGGTGTGAGCAGCTGTGGACTGGGAGGGACACAGGAAAACTTTCAGCTACAAGGGGAGTTCCCAGAATCCACAAGGATGACCCCAGCTTAAATTACTAGCAATAGTGGAGAGGGTACCTGAACTGGCTTATCCCGGTCATCAGATTGTTGAATACCCTAACTGTCATCTAGTAACTGATGGAACAGATGCAGAAATCCACAACCAAGAACTAGGATGAGCTCCAGGAGTCCAGTCGAAGGGAGAGAGAAGAGGGATTCTATGAGCAAGGGGCATCAAGACCATGATGGGGAAACCTACAGAGACAACCAAATGAAGCTAGTGGGAACTCATGAACTTTAGACCAATAACTGTAGAGCCTCCTTGGGACTGGACTAGGTCTTCTGCACAAGTGAGACAGTAGTATAGCCTGATCTGCTTAAGGGTTCCCCTTGCAGTAGGATCAGGATCCCTTCCTGGTGCATGAGCTGGCTTTTTGGAGCCCACTACCTATGGTGGGACACCTTGCATAGCCCTGATGCAAGAAAAGGGGCTTGGACCTGCCTCTACTGAATGTACCAGGCTCTGCTGACTCCCCATGGGAGGCCTTACCTTGTTGGAGGAGGGAATGAGGGATAGGTTTGGGGGGGGAAGGTTGGGGAGGGGAGGATGGAGGAGAGAGGAATCTGTGGTCAGTCTGTAAAATGAATAAAAAAAATTCTTAATAAAAATAAATAATAAAGAAAATGTGACTCAAAATGTTGCTTATCTTTAAAATGGGAATATGCAACAATATGATTAGAATTGAAGATTTGAAGAACATCATGCAAAGTAAAATAGTTCAAACCTAGAACAACAAACATGTTTCACTTAGATGTGAATTATGAAGCAATTTACCTCCATGTAGCATAGTGTATACTTTGCCAGGGCAGTGGGGAAAGAGTGTAAAATCTGATAAACAGGAGAAGTAAGATTTTTTTTCCTTTGAGATAAACTGCGCAGCACATTCAATCCAACAAATTTTAATACACACTTTGAAGTTTCTGAGAATATATTTCTAGTGCATTACCATAAAAATGGTGTATATTTATAGTGATGGGCAACATCTAATTTAGTTTGATATAATTATTTCACAAAATTGTTAATGAATAATATTGGTTTTATAACTTCAATATGTAGCTATAGGTTGTCAATCTATAATTATGATATCTAAAAAAATCAGATAAGAAAGTAGATGTTGTACATATGGTTAAGTATAGCTAGGGCCATAACTTTCCCTTTCTAAGTTCTTGGTTTTGTTGATAAAATATATGAAAGTAAGCTCAGATGAAACTTGAGGACAACTCATTGGAGACAGAGAGAGAAAGAAGGCCCTGAGCACCAGGGAACAGGTATGTGTGAGAATGAAAGAGCGGGGGGGGGGGGGGGGGAGAGAAAGTTGTGCATTTAGTAGAATAAAGCCTTGAAAACAAGACTGGCTCATTAGGAGAGGAGGAGAGAGCCAGGTCTTCTGCTCTATGCTTGGTCATGGGGTGCTCATGTCAGGTCCTCTGCTCTTGTTTGGTGCTTTGAGGCCACAGTTATGACTTGACAGTCCCAGAACTTGTCATGTAGCCCAGGCTGGCTTTAGTTTAGGTCCTCTTCTCTGTTTGGTGACCGAGTGTGCAAGTTCTCCACTCTATTATTGGACATGGAGTGCTCAGGTTCTCTGCTATATGTTTGGACCTTTGAAGCAGGGCTACAGTTGTCATGTAGCCCAGGCTGGCCTTGGTCTGCAGCAGTCCTCATGCCTCTGTCTCCCAAGTTCCAGGAGTTTGGAAGTCTTGCTTCCTGCTCTTCTTGGAGTCTTACCCTTTCTTAGGTTGTCTTTCTTTTCCATTGTTTTTCTTTAATCTGGCCTTTGGTAGAATATAAAATGGAGTTTTTCTTTAATGTAGAAGGAAACCTAGTCTCCAACAAGGCCCCCCATCATCTTATCTGGATATCTAACCACCACTGTGTACCTAGATAAAGAGAGTCACTGACCTCTGACTGTCAGTTGAGAAGGTGTTATGTAGCTGGCTGTTAGGACACAATCATGCATCTGTCTAGAGGAACTTGACATGTGTGTCCAGGAAACAGATAACTGCAGAGGGCCTTTTATTCCCCTCCTCCTGCTTACCATCCGCTATCACAAGAACACAAATTACATCTTCATAAATAAGCATGACTGAGTTTATTTTTTGAGCTCTTTAGAAACCATGCAGGAAGTTGTTGGCCTATTTGAGGGATAATCAAGGCTTTAAAGATATTTCTACAGTCCATGTCTATAGTAAGCTGTTGAGTAGAGATTCCTCCACTGTTCCATGTTTTCATTCTTATTCTTCTGTAAATCAACACAGCCAACTAAATACGAAAACTCCTTGGAGTTTTATTAATCTTTATGTTTCTCTCTTTATACATTAGAAATGATGCTTACCAACTTTGTTAGTTAAATTGAAATGATGGGTTGGGCTGCCATGATTGAATATCACAGGCTCAGTAAATTTAAAAGTAAATGTTTCTCCACACTGCAGTGGGAGAGTCTGAGGTGAGGATTCTCTCCCAGGCTCTTCCTGTCTGGCCACCTTCTCTCAGCTCTCTCCTGGCAGACACTACATTGCTGTTTCTTCCCTAAGTTTAACACAGATCACATATGATGCTCCAATCTCATGATTTCAATTAAGACTAATGTACTCCTAAAAGACATACTCTACGATCATTATATTAATGGTCATTATCTAATTGTTGGATTTTAGAGGACACACTTTGATTAATAGATACCTCTGTGGAGATAGAGAAGATGAATAACTCACTCAACTCATACCATCCAACATTTTTTACCAGAACAATTCCACATTATCCTTGTTTGTTTTTTAAATACTTATTTTATTTTTATGTGTATGACTGTTGCCTGCATAGATGTATGTGTACCATGTATGTGCCCTGAGACCTGTGGAGATCAGAAGAAGGCATCATATCCACTGGAACTGGAGTGACAGGTAGTTGTGAACCACCATGTGGGTGCTGGCAGCTAAACCTTGGTCCTTTGCAAGAGCAACAACCACTCCTCACTGCTGAGGCATCTCTCCAGTCCTGCTTTTTTTTTTTTTTTAAATATCTTTGTGATGTTTTGTATATAGAGAACAAGCTCACCTGGGATAAAACCATTCTAATGTTGAATTTGCTGTTTCTTTTGCCTCTTTTCTCTCTGGCCAGAGCCAGCCTGCTCTTCTTGCTCACAGGCTTTGAATGTGTCAGGAGCTTGTCTACCAGGCAGCTCTTCATGATCGACTGGGATCGCTTTCTGTGAGTAGCTCCTGCTCCAGGAGAAAGCATTGGGGACCAGTGATCAAGTTGCTTAAATTCATAGTGAACCTAGAATGTTATCTCACGAAATCCCAGTATTTTCCACCCCCTTTTTATTTGTTTAGTTGAAAAGTAAAGAAATTATAAAAGTTTGTGTTTACCATTGTTGTGGCACCAGGTGTTTGGAAGTATGTAAAGAAATGACTAATATTAATAAAAAATGGATGGGAAATCAAGAGCAGAGGGGTCTGCTGCTCAGTGAAGTTTCAAATTTGGGGTGTGGTCACCAGATCTCAGTGCTGAGAACAGTACAGTAGTAGGGCCTAAAAATCACTGGAAATTTATAACCTCCCGAAGAAAGATGTCAGGGGTTCCACAGAGCTGAAGTGTGGTGGGTTCAGCAGCACATTGGAGTTGGAGAGGTACACCTGCACAAGAATGAGAGTCTCCTCTGGATGGAGGGCTGGAAAGAGCCAGACAGCAGCTGTGTAGAAAAGGGCTGTTTATCTCCTGTGCTTTTCAAACATGGAAAGAAACTTCCTGGTAGCCTATGCTTAGGATTCAATTCTCTCAGAGATGGCCAAGATTTGCCTCCAAGTACATGCCCAGGAGAGGAGTCCTCAGAGAGGAGCTGAGGGCCTCGTTCAGTAGTTAGAGTGCTTGCTTTGTGTGCCTGAAACCCTGTGTTAGATTCACAGTACCACAAAACCCTGAGCGTGGCTGTATTCCTGCACTTGGGGCCAGAGTAGAGGCAGGAGGATGGTCATCCTTGCCTGCATATGAAATTTAAGGTTAGCCTATACTGGTGAGTCTGTAACAAACAAAACAAAACAACAAAACAAAAACCCCACAGAGATACAATGAAGACACTGGGAGGGGAAGAGCTTAGGATCTGAAAGGGCTGGAAGGGAAAGGATTAGATTTGGTATCTGGTAAAGATTCACAGTTGTACAGAGAGATTACTGAGGAGTACATCTGTCCTAAAGTGAGAGTAGCTGGAGAGAAGGATGTTGTGTCCTGAAGCTGCATTGTGACCTCAGAGTGACAGTGTTACCTTCTTCATGAGAACTGAAAGGAGAGAAGTCTCCATGACCACTGTCTGAGGTGAGGTAGGAATGAGCTGCTCCTCAGGGACTCTGAGTAGAGTGGACACATCGGGCTGTTTCCCTGGAGGGGCTGTTGTGTGACCAGAGTGGACAAAATGGGGAGAGTTCTCTGATGGAGAGAGTCATGGTGAGAATGTCATCAGGATGCTGGCCTAGGGATGCTGGTCCCTAAAATGGGGACGTGCATGGGAGTCAGCCTGGAGCACAGGGCACAGTGTCCTGTTAGGCTCCCTATGGTGGCAGAAGTCAGCTTAGCCAGCATCTCTCCTGTGCCTTCTGGACTAACCTAAGGATGTATAATGTGATCTTTGTCTCTGTAGACATGAGCATACCAGTGGATACTACAGAGTGCCACCATATTTCCTTGGGAAATTGCTGGGTGAGCTGGTACCCAGGTTGTTATTACCAAGTATTATATTTACTGTTATAGTATTCATCATAGTAGGTAAGTGTCAAAGCAAGAGAATGTGTCTTTACTCTTGGGGGAGCGTGTTTTGGTTTGTACAACTGTGGCAAGTCTAAAGTAGAAAAGCATGAGTAGAAAAGCACGTCTCCACTGTGTGTCATCTAAAACAGGTGTTCAGTGTGAGGAAAGTCTCCAAGACTTGTTCACAAAATACTACAAAAGCTGTTATGAAACTGTTTTTACGAGAGATTCTGTGTATTATAATGAATGTAGAAATAATGTACTCATTTGAGACAGTGCCAAAGAAGCAAGATCAGTTATGAGATATCTATCTATAGGTATTGTTAAAGATTTATTTTTCTTTTATTTATGCATTTGAATCTCTGTCTCTCTCTGTCTTTCTCTATCTCTCTCTGTCTCTCTGTCTCTTTCTCTTTCTCTGTCTCTGTCTCTCTCTCTCTGTCTGTGTGTGTGTATGTGTGTGTGTGTGTGTGTGTGTGTGTGTGTGTGTGTGTGTGTGTGTATACACTAAGTGAATGCAGTTCTTGGGAAAGCCAGAACAGTTTGTGAGATCTCTTGGAATTGGAGTTACAGGAGAATGTGAGCCACCATGTGGGTGCTGGGAACATAATCTAGGGCTTTTGTAAGAATATTATATGCTCTTAGTCAGTGAGCCATCTCTCTAACCCAGCTGTATATTTTCCTATGTTTCTGTGTAAGTGTCTACATATGCAAATAAAATATTGAGACATGGATAATGTCTCATAAATATGTACATGTTTGTAAAATATTTAAATGTATACATTATCTTCCTCTACCAGCTTACAAAGAGAGAGGACAGTAAATTTGGTGTTTTTGAAATTTTATAATATAAATATTATTTAAAATATGTGCACAGACTGACATATGAATATGGTTAAGCTTCATTCTAGACTGTTTAAAATTTCTATAATTTTTGCACATGCCCACACACTCACATAGACACACACATATACATACATAGAGACATACACACACACAGGCACACTCACACACACAGATACACACAGACACACACACACAAACACAGACAAAGATAAGCACTGATAAAGCTTAGACTTTGTTTTATAAGAGATTTATTATTCAGAACCACCCATTTAGGCCATGGGATGGCTATGGGAAATGTGCTTGTCCTGCAAGCCTGACAACATAAATTTGATCCTCAGAATCCACAGTGGAAGAGAGAATCACTCAAGAAAATTGTCCTTCAACTCCCTAGCACATGCACACCATGGCAATTACACAGCATAGCACATGCACACCCATACCCACACATGTACTGCACACAGCACAATAATGAGATAATAACAATAACTTTTAAAACAATTAGACATGGAACTCAGCTCCCCCATGATCTAACTTGTCTCTGTAACTGTTTTAAAAACACAGGACTGTGTATGACTCATAGTATTAGCTCTATAAAGATTACAAATCAGCTTGTGGAACCCATTGCCTTCCTGCATAGCAGTTACATGGTGATTTCCTAGGGAACACTAAAGTTGGAGGCACCCTCCTGGCCTCTAGATGTCAAAACCACTGCAAGGTTGTTTAATTCTTGCCTTAGTTAGGTTTCTATTGCTGATAAACACCATGACCAGAACCAGCTTGGGGAGGAAAGGGTTTATTTCATCTTATAGTTCAATGTACTTCTAGAAGGGAAGTCAGGGCAGGAACTCAGGGCAAGAACCGGAGGCAGGAAGTGAAGCAGGGGACATGGAGAAATGCTGCTTACTGGCTTGATCATAATGACTTCTTCAGTCTGATTTCTTACTGAACCCAGGACCACCTGCCTAGGGATGGCATCATCCACAGTTGTCTAAGACCTCCCACATAAATAATTCATGAAGAAAATGCCCCCACAGGCTTGCCTACAGGCCAATCTAACACAAGCATTTTCTTCATTAGGGTTATCTTTCCATATGACCCTAGCTTGTGTTAAATTGACAAAAACTAACCAGCACAGTACTAGTCCCAATTACCTTATTAATGCAATTATAATAAATACAAGACAATATGGACATGAACACTTTCTACTGGTAATTCTTCTGTGAGAGAAGGCAGTAGAATTTTGGGCAGTTGTATTGCCTGTAGCTCTATGCTGTGGAATGTTCTGTATGGCAAATGTGTTGCTAATTGGTTAATAAATAGAACACTGATTGGCCATTGGCTAGGCAGGAAGTGTAGGCGGGACAAGGAGGAGAATAAAGCTGGGAAGTGAAAGGCTGAGTCAGAGAGACGCTGCCAGCTGCCACAATGAGAAACAGAATGTGAAGATACCGGTAAGCCACGAGCCATGTGGCAAGGTATAGATTAATGGAAATGGATTAATTTAAGCTGTAAGAACAGTTAGCAAGAAGCCTGCCACGGCCATACAGTTTGTAACCAGTATAAGTCTCTGTGTTTACTTGGTCGGGTCTGAGTGGCTGTGGGACTGGCGGGTGACAGAGATTTGTCCTGACTGTGGGCCAGGCAGGAAAACTCCAACTACAGCTCTACACGTCAGGATCTCATAAATTGCTCATAATTATGTCTTAGAGAATAGACATTATATTGAAAGATGTTTGTGGCAAGAATAAAAATAAAGCCATATAATTATGCTGGAGAGGCTCATTGGTTAAGAGCACATGCTGTTCCTTCAAAGTCCCCAAATTTGGTTCCCAGCACCCACATCATCAGGCACATCAGGCAGCTTTTACTACAGCTCTAGGGGATATGATGCTCTCTTCTGGCCTCCAAAGGAAACTGCACACTTATGGCATACATTCCCACAGATACACATTAACATACACATGAGTAAAAATAGAATAAATCTTTTAAAAAATGTATAACAACTTTGTGTACTCACATGGAAGAAAGCAATTAAACTGAAGACCCAGAGTAGTAGGGTGGCTATAAAATTGTGACTGGTCTTTTTGGTGATTGAAGTATTATTTGAAAACTGTACAGTTGTCTGGTGTTAGGTAGCTGGACTGACCCCACTTTTTTCTTTCTAAGGAGTAAGAACAGATGTGAATGGTTTCTTCACTATGATATTTACCATCATGATGTTGGCTTGTTCTGCCAGTTCCCTGTCTCTGTCTTTAAAAACAAGGGAGAATGCAGCAGCTGTACCAATACAACTCATGGCTGTCTATTTTATATTCATGCTGGTGAGTGTGAATTGTGTTTTTCTAAGAGGAAAATTTTCCTTGTGTTCGTTATTGCACATGGACATGCTTGACACATCAGTACTTGGGACATGAGACCTTATGTTAAAGCTTATTATGGTCTGTAGGAGAGAAGGAGCCGCCTTTCCTCCTAGGCTTTGTGGATCCTGCTCTGATGTCAGTACCATGATGTGGTTAACGTGACCTTTGTAGTGAACTCTTACCAGACATTTCTTGGGATCATATTACAAAACCATAATCAATTGGATCTTCAAAAAAGTGATGTGTTTGGCTGATTCCCCCAGAACCAGGCAGATTGCAGCCTTTCTTTCATGCTGGTGTGAGAGACTTGTCTGCTGTATTAACCACAGCAGAGGTGATTCAGATTATTCAGTAGTCTAACGGGAAGCAAAGGTCATGGTTAATGTAAGTGTTCATCACCATGAGTCTATCTCAGGACTCACTTGTATTCTGTAAAGGGTTAGAAATAGTGGAAGATTCCAGACTCCTAAGTATTAATCAGTCTCCTGAATTAGCATACTTCTGCTCTTCTTTCTATAATTGGTTACCCTGTCTTAATCTTTCAAGCACCTAAATTACACACAGTTGGTGGTGTTGTTGGAGAGGTTCTGGAACCTTTGGGAGGTAGAGACTTGATGGGGAAGCTGTCCCTGTGCATGCTTCGGGGCTTCGGGTCTTTATAGTCTTGTCCCTCTTCCATCCCATCTCTGCTTTGCACTGTCAATGAAGATGTGAGCCTTCAACTTCCTCTCCCACTTCCTAGCCTGCTGCCTGCTACCATGCCTCCCTGCCGGGATGGCCTCTTGTCACTCTGGAAAACTTAGACCAAAGGAACTCTCTCTTCTACAGGTTCCCTGATCATGGTGTTGTGTCACAACAGGAGAGTGACAGCTGCATTTCCTGTCACTCCCTCCATTCTCCCCTCCCTGACTCATGCTTTGTTCTGCTTTCTGTAAACCCTGGGTCTACCTAGCCCTGCCCATGTGTGCCGGTGTTTAGGGCCATCTACTGCAGCATGGGTAGGCTCTCAGGGGCCACATCCATCAGCTGCCAATAGCTACTCATGTAGGTGTAGGACTGTAGATTAATTTCTAAATGGTTTTAATAAATAAAAAAACCCTCAGGTGCCAGATATTGGAGTGAGTTCTAAAAGATCAGAGAGACAGAACAAGCCACAGCAAACCTCACCTTGACAACTCCTCATCTGATCCTGTTTCCACGAATCTTCAGACTGAAAGCTTTTGAGATCCTTTTCCAAACAGATCTCAGCTGAACTGCTGCTAAAAGCTTAAAAGCCTAAAAAGCCTCTAGTTCCTGGTCCTCATGATTATATATTTTTCTGCTTCCTGCCATCACTTCCGGGGATTAAAGGTGTGTGTCACCATGCCTGGCTGTTTCCAGTGTGGCCTTGCACACACAGAGATCCCGATGGATCTGTGCCTGCCAAGCAATAGGATTAAAGGCATGTGTGCCACCATTTTCTGCCCTCTATGTCTATCTAGGGACTGTTCTGTTCTCTGACCCCAGATAAGTTTATTAGGGTGCACAATATATTGGGGGACACAATACCACCACATAGGACTTCATGTCCACCTCTCCCCTCCATGCAGGGATTTTGTCTGACTTGCTCTTGTACAGGTGTTCCCATGTTGTCACACTGTACTGCATTCCTATGTGTCACTTCCCAATAGTGACAGGAAAACTCTGTTTTGTTATAGTTCTCCACGGCCTCTGGCTCTTACAATCCCTTTAGCCTCTTATATCATCATTCTTGATCCTTGGGAGGAGGGGTGTGATACACAGATGTCCCATTCAAGGCTGGATGCTCTGTAGTCTCTTTTCTCTGTATGGTGACCTCTGGTAGGTCTGTGTTAATCACTGTCTCCTGCAAAAGGAAGCTTCTCTGATGAAGGTCTGAGATGTACTAATCTATGGGTGTCAATACAACTCATTAGAAGTCAGTTTAATACCACATCCATTTAGAAGAGTAACAGTAGATTCTCCTCTGGGACCTATGACTCAACTAGACACAGCATCATAGATGATTTCTATCTTGTAGAGCAGGTCATAAATACAATCAGAAAATGAATGGTCTGTCACTGCCATTATAATAGTATATCCAGTGCCCCCCATATATTTCCTTCACCACAGAAAAACAAAAAGCAGAAAATATCCAGGTGTGATGGTCATTGTTTTAGCATACTTGCAACTTCATTCCATATCCCCTGGAATCCCCTCCCCCATATTTCAGCATTTCTAGTTAACTGCCCATAGTTACAACACCCAATCAAGATGTAAGTCACCATATACAAGAGACAAACAGTAAACAGATGGAAAGTTCTGCTCCGTCATATTCAGGATTGGACTAGTAAAGGAAGCCTTGGCATTCTGATTCTTAGAACTAAAAGCCTGAAACATCCTTGGGCGCTCCTTTTGGGGTATGGTGATAGTGTTTTCACCTCCCTCATTGCTGGGGTGCTGGACTCCCAGGGCACGGGGCAGTAGACAAACATGGTGCTGTGGACCAGTCCATCTGTAGGAGATGGGCTCTGCTGCCATCCCAGAGCAAGGACCCCACAGCACAGAGGAAAGAACAAGGGCAAGGAACCATGTCAAGGAGTTCTGCCCATTGTTAGTTCTGGTCCTCCTACCCCAGAGTGCAGAATGGAAGCCTAGTCACCTTCCAGAGCCCAGAACTGCCTGAGCATTGTTATGGAAGATTTTAAAAAATGAAATGCGGATCTACATTGACTGCAGTGCATTGGGTGGAGGGTTAAAGAGGATTGAATGTGTATGTATAAATAATATGGGTGAAGCCTATGTGATCCCTCCCATTTTCCTTTCTCATGTGTGATTATATATTTAAGAGGGGAATATGGCTTCTGGGAATAAGTTTTTATAATTCATTTCTTTCCTATATGTCTGTAATTTGTACTTAGAAAGCTCCCAACATTTCCATGTTTGTCATGATGTTTTTTCACAGCCACAGGAAAGGAGCTAAGACAACTGGTTATCGTATAAAGTTTCTAAATGGGACCTGAAAACTAGTTACAGAGCCAAATGTTGTATTTTCTGAGGAAGCATTTGGTCAGGGGCAGTCTGAATGCACACACACAGTCATTGTTTTACATACTCTACTAAACCTAAGACTACATAGGACAAGTTTTGTGTGAACTTCAGAGCTGTCCCTTATTCTTCCTTGTTCATCATTCATAATATCTACATAAATTAGATATTGTGAGGAATCTAAAGAGGATTTTAAATGTGTAGGATGGATGTATTTAAAGTTTAAAGGGTGTGCATAGGTTACATGCCCTTTTAAAGATAAACAGCATAAGCATCTGAGGGTTTGGCTCCTGCAGAGTAGAGTGGCAGATCCTTCTTTTAAAAACCATAAAGAGCCTTGGCTTTGCAAAGAGTGAAGAATTCTGTTTAGAGTTAACTGAAAGAATGTTTTAAAGAGGTGGTGTGAGCAGAAATAGTTAGAAGGATGAAGAGGTCTTGAAGAGGGAGGATCTTGTCTAGAATTCTTAGTCACAGGACTGGTTCTAATTGGTGTTTCTATTCTTTGTAGTATATCTCAGGTCCGTCACTATATTCAGGAAACTTACTAGCTGGACTTTCATGGATTCAATACTTTAACATTCCTCATTACGGATTTACAGTAAGTTGTCCTGTCTGTCACTGTACTTGGGGTCTCCAACTGCAGAAACTGAAAAGAATCCCAACCAAGTCCTTTCCCCAGCTGTAATCTCTAACCAGAAGCTGCCCAGGATTTTCCTTCCAGGAGCAAAAGATAAGAACTTTACTGTTAATTCTAGCCAAAGTTCAGTGATTCATCTGGGGTTTTCCCCAGTCACATGTTATTTGAGGGAAATAAAGGATGAGATAAATCCCAGAGTAAAGGAAAGATAGATGATATAAAGAAAAGCATACAGTAGTGATTATACCCAATAAGGAAATAATGAAAGGATCAAGGAGTAAGATATAAAATCTCTATCAGGAAATTAAAAGAAATGGAAACCATGTGATACTCATAGGCAATAGGCTTTGCCAAGCTTTTTCTCTAGTAAAGTATGTCTTAATAGACTGTCTTACTCCCATAATCACAACTGGTTTTGATGAAAACAAGCAAGAAAATATTGTTACTATAAATAAATAGTATTGTTTTAATTACAGTGTTTACATGGTTATAGACTGGGCAGAGAAGGAGGTGCCTGAGGTAATCCAATTAGAGAGTCCACCTCTTAGTAGTTGGGAAGCACCATCATTTCAATGCTAAGCCTCCTGCTTGTGGGGGAGGGGCACTGCTTTGCTGGGCAGACTGAACTTGGTGGAGGTTGTTCATTTAAAAATATATTTGGAAGCCGGGCGATGGTGGCGCACGCCTTTAATCCCAGCACTCGGGAGGCAGAGCCAGGCGGATCTCTGTGAGTTCGAGGCCAGCCTGGACTACAGAGTGAGTTCCAGGAAAGGCGCAACACTACACAGAGAAACCCTGTCTCGAAAAACCAAGAAAAAAAAAAAAAAAAATATATATATATATATATATATTTGGAAATTACAGTCAAAATTGAACTTGAATTTATAGCTGTATTTATTCTTTAGAAACTTAGGTAAATATTAAACTATTTGCTTTTCTCTATTTTTGTTTGTGTTACAGGCTTTGCTGTATAATGAATTCCTGGGACAAAACTTCTGTCCAGAACATAACACAGCAGAAATCAGTAGATGTCAGAACTATGTAATGTAAGCTTGAGTTCAGTGTCACATGCTGGCATAGAATGCTGCTAGACCTAGAGAGGAAAACCTGTCCTTTCAGAATGAACACTGTCTTCTGCCAGTTCCCCAGAGTGAATCATTGTAACCAATACGCATGTGGATGTGTTTTAATCCTACTGCTCTATGGTGTAGATGATGTGCAGAAAGGGTTTTTTGGGCCTTTAAAAAAATGGTTTTGGTGTCTTGATTGTGGATTTGAGTTCTTTGTTTCAGAACATTTGGCTTTGACTGAGGCTGCTCTGATAGTTTACAAGGGCATACAGTTTCCATATGTATAGATCATGGTACCTGTGAGCAGAGCCCAAGAATGTCAGGGCAGCAAGGACTAAGGTGAATAAGTTTTGCCTGCTAGCATGCAGGGTCTTCCCTCTGCCTCATGCTCTGGAAGATTTTAAGAAATCAAAGGCTAATATGTGTGTGTGTGTGTGTGTGTGTGTGTGTGTGTGTGTGTGTGTGTGTATGTGTGTGTAAAATGTCCTACCAGAGGACATGTCCTGCAATGAAAGAAACATATATTTCAGTATTTTGAGAAGGCAATACCATTTTTGTCTAATACCATGAAAATAGAAACAAAGATTTTTTTAAATAAAATTAAAGCATATTGTTTTAAAGTTTTAATACTTTCCCTTTCTATGGATTGCTCTCATTGATTTGATTTTGATATATAAATGAGAGAGGAACATGTTTATATGTTAAATCTCTCATGGATATTCAAAATAATAATGAATAATAGTAACCCAAATTGTGTTTGAATTACTGATAAGAAAACAAGTGTGGGGAGATATCTTATTTCCCATATTTCCTCTCTCCTGGTGTGGTCTGGCATCCTTCTCATCGAAGTTCCTTACCAATTTCTTGTCAGAAGGAAGTTGATGGTGTTTTTGGTTGTTTTGCTCTTTTGCCGCCCCCGCCCCTCCCTCCAGCTCCCAAATAAATCACACACAGAGGCTTATACTTAATTACATATGTTATATATGTTCAGTCTTAGCTTGGCTTTCTTGCCAGCTTTTCTTAACTTTAAATGATTCCGTCTATCCTTTGCCTCTGGGCTTTTTCCTTTTCTTACTTCTGTATATCTTACTTTCACTCTACTCTGGGGCTGGCTGTGTGGCTGGGTGGCTGTGTGGCTGGGTGGCTGGGTGGCTGTGTGGCTGGGTGGCTGTGTGGCTGGGTGGCTGTGTGGCTGGGTGGCTGGGTGGCTGGGTGCCTGGCCCCTAGCATCCTCCTCTCCTTGTTCTCTTGCTCCTTCTTTATTTTCTCCCTTATTTATCCTTCTATTTATTCTCTCTACTTGCCAGCCTTACCTATCCTTTCTCCTGACTTGCTATTGGCATTTCAGCTCTTTATTAGACCATCAAGTGTTTTAGACAGGCAAAGTAACACAGTTACACAGAGTTAAACAAATGCAGCATAAAAGAATGCATCACATCTTTGCATCATTAAACAGATGCTCCACATCACAAACAAAGGTAACACATGTTAAAATAATATTCCACAAACAGATGGGTAAAGTGAAACCAGAGGTGGGTTACCCACAGACCTCATACTCACAAAAGATTTGCCCTCACAAGAGAAGGAAGAAATCTGCCCTCTCAGGAGATTTGGGAACTGTTAGATCCCATGAGATACACAGGGATGGATACACAAAGGGATGGAGACACACAGATATGGAGACACACAGGGATGGAGACACACAGATATGGAGACACACAGGGATGGAGACACACAGATATGGAGACACAAAGGGATGGAGACACACAGATATGGAGACACACAGGTGGTAATTCTAGTGTATCCAGAATTTTTAGCAGCAGCACCTTTTCTAACCTGTGTCAGGGCCCCTGCATCCTGCTGTGCTCCAACTGCTACCCAGGCTCTGTCTGTAGCCATGGGCTGCTGGGGATGTTCCATAGCTGAGCATCTGTGGTTGTCATGCTCCCTTAGTAGAAGAGCTGACAGGAATGGACTGACTCCTGTCAGGAACCCTTAGTCTCTCTGGTCCTCGGTCTAGAATTTGATGCTGTGTTTATTGCATGACTGTCTACTGAGTCAGCAGAACTGCACAAAGATTGATCTCTTAGAGTGTCTGTGTGTTGTTAGGAAGCTGAGGTTTTCCACTTCATGAGAAACAAGTCCTTCATCCATGCCTTTGCCCTTTGAGGAGAGGGCAGCATTGCAGATTTAGAAATGAATGACACAGTGAAGACTACAAAGTTGGGTCTTAGTGTGACTCTCTAAACTGGGCATAGTTTACTGAGCCTACTTCCTCTATACCTTTAAATAGATGCGATAGCTAAGCCTCTTTGGATGGTTTTTGAAATTAACAAAAGAACCTGAATCAAGTAGGTAAGATTGACATAATATATAACAAAATAGTAAACACATCGTTACTAATATCAATTAAATATAAAAAAGAAAATTTTAATGATGTGTAGAAACTGAGTTTTTGAAAGGAAGCAACAGTGAATGTACTGAATAAACTTTGACATTATTTTTGTGTGTGTTGAATTACAGATGTACTGGTGAAGAATTCTTGACAATCCAGGGTATCGATCTCTCATCATGGAGTTTCTGGAAGAATCACGTGGCCTTAGCTTGTATAATGATTATCCTCTTTTCAATTACCTATGTACAATTATTAGTTCTTAAGAAAAAGAGACATTTTTTAAAATCACTCAGTCACCAGAATGCAAGGCACTGATGGGTGAATCTCTGATAGGTAAGGCAAAGGGGACTTCAGCTTCTGAATGTCTCTTGCCACTGCTGTGCCTTCACATGTTTGCTCCTGCCATTTTTCTCTGGAATGAATTGTGTGAACGGGGGTCAGGGGAATCCCCACTGCCTTTAATGTTGTATGTATCTCATGGAAATATCCTGTCCTTCTGACCATTTTTTTCCTGTGGATTATTATAAAGACAATTTCCTCTTAACCTGCACTGTTTAACTGAAGTAATGATTTCATACAATAACAGTGGTAATTTAAATAGAATTTTGATGATTAAGGGTTTTTAACAAATGTAGTAAGGAATTATGATAGAGGTTATTTTAGTGGGAAAATTATTATAGGTAAACATAAGACATAGTGTTGTCACTGCCCCTGATGAAGCACGGGCTGCAGAGGATAGAAAATAGGACCAAGGAAGTGTCATCAGCTGGGACTTATGAGTTTCTTTTGAGGAGCCTATAGACTATGGTTTAGGTGAATGATTAAGGAAAACAATTGAGTCCCAGAAATTAGCTTAAATTCTTTTTGATATTGGGAAATGTGTTCACGGATTTTGGTGTGCATCATAGATAAAATAAAGCTTTAAATAATACTTCATGTAATTAGAAAAAAGAATTGGATGCTTAGTTAAGATAATTAGGCAGAACTCTAAAATATGAAAAGTGAAACTAGTAACCCATTTTTCTGGCAATTATAAAAACTACTGCCTTTGTAACAGTTATGGCTGAAGGCTCCTGATCTATAAGAAATCTAAAAGATAAATGTTTAACTGTATGTGGGTGCTTTGGGACAATTTGTTTTTCACCTGTAATATGTAAAATGTTTACTATTGTAAGGGAAATGGGAAACATGTTAATTTTTTTACTGGTATTCATTGTAATCATTCACTTAAAAATAGATTGTAACTACATTGTAATTTTTATATTGCTTGAAAGATTCTGCTGGGGTGTATAAGCTGTAAGGGAAAAAAGAAGTTAGAAGGAAGTCATCAGGAAGTAGTGAGAAGGAAGTCATCAGGAAGTAGTGAGAAGGAAGTCATCAGGAAGTAGTGAGAAGGAAGTCATCAGGAAGGAGTGAGAAGGAAGTCATCAGGAAGGAGTGAGAAGGAAGTCATCAGGAAGTAGTGAGAAGGAAGTCATCAGGAAGTAGTGAGAAGGAAGTCATCAGGAAGTAGTGAGAAGGAAGTCATCAGGAAGTAGTGAGATGGAAGTCATCAGGAAGTAGTGAGAAGGAAGTCATCAGGAAGTAGAGAGAAGGAAGTCATCAGGAAGTAGTGAGAAGGAAGTCATCAGGAAGTAGTGAGAAGGAAGTCATCAGGAAGTAGTGAGAAGGAAGTCATCAGGAAGTAGTGAGAAGGAAGTCATCAGGAAGGAATGAGAAGGAAGTCATCAGGAAGTAGTGAGAAGGAAGTCATCAGGAAAGAGAAAGAAGGAAACGTCAGGGTAGAAGAACAGAACAGAAAAAGGATAGAGTAGAACAAGCAATGGAAACAATAATAAAATGAAGAACTAAGCTTTGACCCTCAGAAAGTCCTAGTGTGTCAGTTTGTCTGTCCGTTAGTTCACCTGCTCTGCATCTCCTCTTCAGTTTCTCTGACCTGCTGAAGACTTGTCATCCATCAGCACCCTAGGTGAGAACTTGACATGTTGGAGATGTGTGTGTGTGTGTGTGTGTGTGTGTGTGTGTGTGTGTGTGTGTGTGTTTCTTCTTTTTGCTGGCCCCAGAGAATCAAGGTTTACACTCTCAGATAGAAAAGTCAATGGAGCGATCAGTCCACAGACTCCATGGCTCCCTTCAATTCCTGGGGTGCTGAAGGCTGGTTTCTACAGCAGCAAAACTTAATTTGCTGTTGTTGTTGTATAAAGCTAGCCTAAAAACCAGCAACTGGAGTCTTAGGCTCTATGGCGAAAATTTTCTACAGTTGTTTAAAGAGATGTGATGGCAAAATGTCTTTACATATTTATAGTTATACTCATGGACCAATGCTACAGCCAACATTACCCAGAAAACATTCCCACTGTAATGAATGTACTGTGGTAAATGCATAGACTCATGGCTTCTCCAGGTACCAGAGTAAGTGACACTTGAGTGCTTAACCCTAAACAGAACACCTTTCCACTCCTCTAGAGCTCCAAATTGTGTGAAAGATGAGTGGAAACAGCACACAGGAGACAGAAGATGAGAATAAGGGCAGGAAATACTATATTGTGGGCAGGACACACACAGCCATTGCAACCATGGTCCGTCTCACAACATCTACAGCTGCCTGCACAAGACTGGGTCCCTCATCAGCACAGCAAGGGTCAGAGAGGGACTCAACAGGACCATACCCCACTCTGCCAAACTATTGCTACTGGTAGATTATGGGAGAGAGGCAGTCATTGATTTCACATACATACTCACAGGAGAGTCAGCTAGACTCCAGAGGATATTCTAGAACCCAGGGTCACACAGACAGCTCTGGTTTAACTATGGGTTACAAGACAAAACCCAAAAATATGAATGTGAAAAAGGGACTTGTAAAGAGGGGCATTTGAAGGGATTGAAAGGGAAATAATAAAGGTGGGAGGGAGTGAGAATGGCTGAAATATATTATATACATATATGGAATTGTCAAAAACTTTTAAATAAAGATTACAAATATAAAACAGGAACTTCTTGTGTATAGTATCTAATGAAGACTTTTTTAGTTGATTTCTGTTATACTGTAAATCAGCAATGGTTATTTTTTTATTTTTTTTAAATTTTTTGGTTTTTTGAGACAGGGTTTCTCTGTGTAGCTTTGCGCCTTTCCTGGATCTCGCTCTGTAGACCAGGCTGGCCTCGAACTCACAAAGATCCACCTGCTTCTGCCTCCCAAGTGCTGGGATTAAAGGCGTGTGCCACCACTGCCCGGCAATGGTTATTTTTTTAAGATCACAAAGTAGTAACAAACTAAATTATAAGTAAAAGAATCTAAGCTTCAAGATAGTGTTATTAACTATTGCATATTAGTTCATCTCATCGATAACAATCATGAGAGGCGATCAATCAAATTTTTTTTTAACCTGGAAAAGGAAAATTTGTCCTAGAAAATCTTACATTCTTTACATTTTTACATCGTCATCTTTACAGTGAGAACATAACCTATCATTCCCCAAATGTAATAGCAAATGAATAATCCATCATTGGCCATTATGTGGTCCATAAAAAAATGTATTGATTCCATTTTAAAAGCATGGTTCTAAAATATGTTATAAAAACCTATGTTAATTCTAGGGTTAAAAAAATCAGTGAACTTGGAGTAGTGGTGCATGCTTACAGTGTCAGCACTTGGGAGGTGGAAAGATCAGGAGTTCAAGGTCATCCACAGTTAGATAGTATGTTTGAGGCTAACCTGGGCTAGAAAAGACACAACTTCAAAACCAAACAAAACAAACTAACAAACAAAAATCCACATATAATGAGTGACCATAAAAACATCTTTGATGAGCTCATTAAGTAAGATTTATGGATGGTGTCTTAGTTAGTTTCTATTGCTTTAATGACATACAATGACCAAAAAGTAAGCTGGGGAGGAAAATGTTTATTTGGATTATACTTCTACATCACTCTTCATCACTACAGGAAGTCAGGGCAGGAACTCAAACAGGGCAGGAACCTGAAGGAAGGAACTGATGCAGAAGCCAAGGAGGGGTGCTACTTACTGGTTTACTTCACATGCTTCCTTCAGCCTTTTTCTTACAGAATCCAGGACTAGTAGCCTAGAGGTAGCCCCACTCTCAGTTCCTGGGCCCTCCCCATTGATCACTTACTAAGAAAATGCCTTACAACTGGATCTTATGGAGGCATTTCCTCAACTGAGGCTCCTTCTTCTCTGATGATCTTAGCTTGTGTCAACGTATCATAAAACCAGCCAGGACAGGTAGTTACTTCTCTGTAGTGATATAATGGCTCATGAGTCTTGACTGGGGGCTTTGGCTATAGTTGCAGTAAAAAGACAGGCTTCTTATGATATGAAATGGCTCTTGTGACATTTCAGGAGGACTCTGATCTGAAAAGTCACTTAAGCTCCAGGTTAACTCAGTGGTACAGAATTTGGAAAGAGGCTCTCCTTAGGCACGTTGCTGAGACACAGGTATTGGGGCCCTGCCTTGCACATCAGTATCTGTAGAAACTGCCTCTTGGAATAATTGCCAACTCCTAGATCTGCTAGTTCCCAAGATCCTTTGCAGCCCTAGGAATTACAGACTATGGTTTTGTAGCTGTTGTATCTGCACCTTCATGGGTCTTTATTTCCCTTATGTTTCCATAATTTACATTCATAACTTCTTAATTCAGTCTTTTTCCACAATAGGAAAGTACTCATCAGTAATATGGGTGTTTTTCAACATCTTTGCCAAATTCTCTAGGCTTCTCAGCCCTCCGGACCTTGGTTCCATTGCATTTGATATTCTAGAAACTTGTCTCTTTGGCTTCTACTCCCCCCGCCCCCACCTTGGTGTGTTTCCTGACTCTACCCACTTTCTCTGTTTTGTTTTTTTTGTTTTTTTTTTTTGTGAAACAGGTAGGAAGTTTATTTATTCACTGAGACTGGATCCTTGACTTTCTCTTCAGATGCCTTAGTCACAGCAAAGCTTCCCATAGAAGTTCCTTAAGTCCTTGTCTAGTCTCTTTCAGGAGCTAGACACCTATGTGAACTTCTCCCAGACATCATCAAGTGCACAGCAAGGGGCTAATTTGCTGTTCTAATGGCCATGTAAGATGTAAACAACAGGAGATAGAGGCCTTGGCCAGTCTGCTACTGTGGTCTCCACTCTGAGAACAGCTATTTCCATAACACAGGCATGCTTCCTGCATAATAAAACAAATTGCTGTGCTTGGGTTGGGTCTCAGTGAGAAAGGGAAGATATTTCCCTCTCCCTGCACCCCCATGTAAAAATAAAGAGCCTTTATTTCAAGCTCCAGAGCTTGGTCCCTCTGTCTGTCCAACACAG